ATAGAAAATGTTGAGAAGCCCAAATTGCCCAAACTAGTTTGGGCTTTGAGAAAACAGTTTGGACCAGAAACCTTAGACCCCATGTTGCTACACCATTGGGAAAGTGAAATTCTCCTATTAATATCATTCAATATATGCCTTCATAACACAAATCCATGATGTAATATCTGCTCAGAAACCCTATAAATGTTTGTGAATATCAGAAAAGAATTATTTGTATGGTTTTTGTTCATAAAAATTATATATTACTCACCAGCTACTTGTATGCCACAGATAACAATATCTTCAAGCCCATCTTCAATGGCTTTATCAAGGGCAGACTTCATTGTTTTCCCAAGATATACCAAATCTTCATTTATTAAAGCCTCTTTTGTATTTGGCGGCTTGATCTCAACAAACATCAGTTCAATATAATCATTTAGATTTGTTCTGATTATGAGATCTGGCTTTGTACCATGGAAGGTTGGATCAAACTGTTTTTTTGACCACATTGATGAGTTAGATGTCTTACTTGACCTATAAATAATAATAGAAATAATAGAAATATTATTCATTGATTTTACATATAGTGGATTTCAATACAATACATACCATTCAATTATAGTGTTTTATTAGTAAAAAATGGTTTAATAATTGGGCTGACAATAATCATATTTAGTTAATGTGATTCTCAAGTCCACATAAACACATACACATTTAATAAGAACATACAGATTCCAAAGAATATTGTACATTGTCTCTTCAAGTTTATCATTGGTCTCAAGCCCTTTTAGATATGCTTCTATCTTTGTTTGATGCTCTTGCAGGTTTCCATACTCACAAGAAAGCTGAAAATACAATATGACAAATCATATATAAAAACAATGAAAAAAAGTACATTCAAAGTTCCATGTGTATAAAGCATTATTTATTGCCTTATAAGTACCTTAATAACTTTTGTGAATATTTCGTACACTGTTTCAGGAATTGACTTGGATGAATATTGTTCCCTTATCTTTACAAAAACACTTGACCAGAGTTCATCATCGAAATATTCTTGAAGTCCTTCTGGGTGTTCTTCTTGAAACAGGAAAAATATGACTCAACACTCTACAAAAGCAAAAAAACAGTTAGTTTTCTTCAATGTTGTCAATATTTTAAAGATATAATACGAACAGCTCCTCATTTGCAGTAATGGTAATTGTTTTCGATTCACATTTTTAATAACCATAGTATCTCTTGACAGATAGTAGAAATGTCAATATTGTTTTCAACCCACTGTTTGAAAGAAGAGATGGTCAAACAAAATAATAATAATAATAAGACACATATGCTGTGATATATTACTCTCATTGAGTCTTCTTTTAGCACCCAATTGATAACACCAGGTCTGACAAAATACTCCATATAATAAGCTTTCCTCCCTTCCATTTTAATATAATCTTTGGAAATTATCGAATTATGTGAAGATGAAATGTATGACAAGTCTGTTGCTGACATATTATGTCTCTCCTTCTTAGCATCATTATTGTTGGTGAAGAAGAGTTCTCTTTTTAGAATAATCATTATAAATTAATAGTCTTGTTATAAAAATCAATATGCATTATTTCCTCCGTTGATTCAGGAAAACCAAGAAATTCTTACCGTAATTCAATAGTGGAGATAATTCATTATAAGTTGACTAATAAAAAATATAAATCATTGAATTTATAAAGTATACATATGTTGCTAATAATAAATAATTAATCTTGCTGAAGATAATTCACTTACACTTAAAGATGGAGATGCTTCTTCAACTTGGTTGGTGTTATTGTCATTTTTGGTCAGCAAAGAAGCTACCTTAATTTTCTTATTATTGTCATTATTGATCGATGATGGAGATCCTCTAAAAAAATACAAGCATAAGTTATTAAAGTAGAGACAACAACAGCTGAATGCAACCACTACTGTACTTTAAAAAAAACTAGAGTGATGACCACATTATTTTGATAAACAATACTTACTTTCTGGTTGCTTCTGCAGCATTGATGTATTGTTTTCTTTTACTGTTGGTTCTTTTGTCTTGTTTTGGCATGTTTAAAAAAAATTTTTTTTAAAAAAAAAGACTTGTTAAGAAAAAACAAGTATGTAAACATTAATATTAATATTATTGGCACTTGGTGTTGCACAAAGATTTGTTTTTGTTGACATGATTGAAATTTTTTTTTTTGGGAAAACAAAGATGACAAAATGCAAGTGATGTTGTTTAGCATGATTGGTTCTAAAAAGAGATCTTTTTTTTAATTTGCATTATTGAAATCAAAATGCGGAGATCTTGTTGGGCAATTATAAGAATCTCATCAAGATAGTAAATGATTGGTATTTTGCTTTTTGTAATCAATATTAATATATTAATATTTATTATTATTATTATAATTAATTACAAGATGTCAAGGCAGCACACCTGACTTTCAGAAGGAACATTTCAACTATGTGACGTTTGATTATTGGAAATTTGACAAGTGTTGAAGCACTCACACTACCTTGAACACTACAGTCATTTGCACATGTTCCTCATGTACAAAAGGTTAAACTGACCTGTGACGCCCAAAGATATGATAATGCAATCAAATTCCAGGGAGTGGTGGTATGGCCCTGGAGTTTACCAAGACTGCATCAATTGTCAATGACACTTTTGATAATCTTCCCAAACCAGAGAATGCTGGTTGAAAAGTTGCCTGCAATGATCCTACCTCTAGGGGTAAGGATGACTCTGTGACCAAGTCGCAACTCTGCAGCATTTTGAAGAGCTGTGATGTTAAGTGCACATAAACATCCAGATCCATCAAAGCAACAAGAATCTGCAACTTGTTTCAAGCACAGGAGGTCGCAATTCAGAGCAGTGTTTGTGACCCTGAAATTGCATTTGGACTCTGATGTTAGAGGAAAGTTGTAAAATAGCATTTGCTTTGTATAATCATTTTCATAAAAAAAAAGAAGCTAAAGATTTACTCAAAAGATTTAAAGAACATCTGTCTAAAGCCAAAGTAGAAAGAAACTTTATAATAAAAACACCAAATTAGCAGAAGAACAAAGAAAATTAGTTAATCAAAATTATTCAAAGGGCAAAACACAATATTGCAGTATTGATGCTACTGCTCATTATAGTTATGATTGAGCCCAAAATGTTCATGTACCACATTTAGATCAACAAGTAAAATCTATTACCTTAGTCCATGTAAAGTTCATCTATTTGGTATTCAAGATGAAGCAAATTAATTATGTTCTTAATGAAGATGAAATTATAGGAAAGGGACCTGATGGCACTCTTAGTATGATTTTTGATGGCATTTAAAGATTACTTGTGATAATGCTGGTGGACAAAATAAAAATAATGTAACTGTTTGATTTTATTTATATTTAGTAATTTGTGGTTATTATGAAAGTGTTGAATTAAATTTCATGATTCCTGGACATACCAAATTCAAATGTGATGGTAATTTTGGCATGATTAAAAAACTCTACAGAAAAACAAGAGCAGATTATCTAGATCATGTGATTGAGGTGATAAAAAGTCTAGTCCAGCTGGATTGAATAAAGCTCAATGATACAAAGCAGGAAAAGGTTTTCAATATTTAGATATTAAACCTATTTTGGAAATTTATTTTAAGAAATTACCAAGTATACAAAAATATCAACATTTTCTTTTTGAAGCATCTAATTTTGGTACAGTGAAAGTTCAAGGAATTGCTAATGGGCCTTTTGCTGAATTCAATTTATTGAAAACCAAGAAAGCGGATATTTTTGAAGAGATTAAAGCTTTATTTATTTTAGTTTCCTTTAGATTATAAGAGGCAAGAATATCTTTATCATAATATTTGTCTATTTGTGAAAGATGAATACAAAGATATTACTTGCCCAAGACCATTCTATACCAGAAATGAATAAAATATTTAGAATAAAATTACCTTCATTACTTCCTTGCTGTTATCAAGTTTAATAAATTTAATCTTTTGACAAATATTGTTAGCCTTTTCCACTTTTAAAGTAAAAAAGTACTAAAATAATTTATATACTTAACATACCCTTATAAAAAGGATACAAGTATATTAAAAGAATAAATAAAAAAAAGGGACAAACATGGTAAACATCATAAACAAACAACAACAAACAAATAAAGCACTAATAAATGGAATAGAATTATTGAAAAAGCAATTAGCTGAAAAAGAAGACTTTAAGCTAAAAATATGAAATGCAGTTTGCAATCTTACTGAAAGTTCAGAATATGCTGGAACAAGTTTAAGAACCTTAGAAAGATTTACTTGAGTTGACAATGGTTGAGTAAGTTATCCAGAAAAGAATGGAATTGAAATTGGAAGAGTTGTTTTTAGCAACAAATTCACATTGTTAAAAGTTTTGGTCATGAAGCATTAAATTATGAAGAAGCTTTTGGTTTTACTTATCAAGAAAAGGATGCTCTTCTAGAAAAAAAGGTTGTTGAGTTACAGCAAATTAATCAAGAGTTGGAAGAAGTATTAAAAGTGGAAACATCTGAATGTCATTTAGAGGCTCTTGAAGTAGCTAGACAATAGAAAGTAAGGCAAAGCAAGGAAAAATATGACAACTTAGAAAAAGCTTTGAGAAAAATAGAACTGCTAGAAAACACTGTGGCATGGCAGAATTATTTAGCATACAAGCAACTTCAAGAACTACCAGTTTTACCAAGGAAAGAAAACAAATTTAAACTCCTTACTAACAAAGTAAAAAACAAAGCTAGCCAAATAAAAGAAATTACCAGAGAAAAATCCAATGCCTATATTTTACAAGAGAATAAATAGTATGAAATTAGAATACCAAGTTAACAAGCTGAGGAGAGGAGATAGATGGCATTGTAATTTCTGTCCTTTTGAAAGAGAAAGGAGTTTAACTGCTACTTACAAAATAGTATCTTACAATACAA